GTCGGCCGGGAAGGCAGATTTTAATAGGAGCGGGGGGGGGGGGGAGGATGGGGGGGGATGGAGGCTTAGTTGATCACACTAAAAACGAGTGTTCGTGAGATATGTGGGTCACTGGCAATCGTTTATAACTTATCCCTCTTAGCAATGAAGACCGTGAGCTGCCTTCTTGAACCACTATTCAAAAGGGAATTCCAGTGAAGTAACAGTAACATGGTTCTAAGTCACGATAAAGTGTGACTTTGAGGGGGAACTGGCAGCAGGGCAGCTCCCATACATTTGCCGCTCTTAGCCTTCTCAGAGATGGAGATCAGAAGTGATAGGTAATGAAGGGCTCTTGGGTGAGTTGCTGAGGTGAACATTATAGATATTCACACTACTGACATGGTGCACTGGTGGTGCAGCAAGTGAATGCTTTAGGTGGGAGATGTCATACTAATCAGGTAAGCAGCTTTTGCTTGGAGGATTTTAAGCTCCTTGGACATCTGTAACTGCACTCATCCTGACAGGACAGAAATTTGCAGATAGGATTTATCCACTTTTGTGTAGGCAGGATATGTTTACTCCAATGTTTGTGTAGCCCTTTCTTTTGTTTAGTTATTTAATCATCCACATCAATATGCTGACATGTGGTAAGATTACTGTGCTTAATTCTGTGGATTGCAGGATAGCTTGATCAAATGGGTTTGAAATCAAAGATCTAAATTGGGGGAAGGCAGATTTTAATATGATCAGATGATTTGGTAAGGATGGAATGGAATGGAAGCAGGTACCTTTAGTGAGATACACTCGAGGAGGGAATACGCTGAGTATAGGATCAACATGTTCCAATAAAGCTGAACAGTGGGACTAACAAATCCAGCAAATTATGGATATCAAGGGATATATGGGATTAGATAAAGAGAAAGGGGGAGGCTTACAACAAATACAGAGGACTTAAAACAGAAGCCGTGGAGAAGTATAGAACGTGTAAGGGCAAACTTAAAGAAGTTAGGAATGCAAAAAGGGGACGTGAAAAGATGATCATAGGTAAAAGAGAAAAATCCAAATTTATTTTACAAGTATATTAACAGTAAAAGGCTAATAGAGAAAGGCCAATAATGGACCACAGTGGTAATTTGAGAGAGGAGCTGGAGGACATAGGTAGGGTACTAAGTTAATACTTCGTGTCAGTGTTTACAAGCGAGGGTATGGCATGTATAGAAATCAGAGAGAAGGTCTGCCAGGCTTAAAGTTAGATAAATATCTGGTCCAGATGAAACATATTCCAGGTTAAGTGAGGTAAGGGAGAAAATAGTAGGGACACTGGCAATAATTTTCAATTCCTCTCTGGCCACAAAAGAGATGCCAGAGGACTGGAAAACAGCCAATGTGGTAGCATTATTGAAGGAGGAAGGGATAAAGCAGGAAAATATAGGCTGGTCTAACCTCAGTGGTGGCGAAACAAATCAAAGTAATTCTGAGGGACACAATTAATTTACACTTAGAGGCAGGGATTCATCAAGAATAGTCAGCATGGTTTTGTTGACAGGTCGTCATATCTGACCAACTTGAGATGAAAGGTGTACAGATGACGGCAATGTATTTAATGTGGTCTACTTGGGCTTCAACAAGGCTTCAATAAGGTCCTGCACAAGAGATTGATAGTGAAGGCAACAACCTACAGTATTACATGGAAAGTTGACAAATTGGATCCAGATTCTGATTAGTGGTAGGAAGCAGAGGATGATGGTAAATGGGTGTTTTTGTGATCAGAAATCTGGATCCAGTGGGGTTCTTGCCGTTTGTGGCATAAATGAACAATTTAGACTTGAAATTAGGGGGACTGATCGCAAATTTTTAGACATTATAAATACTGGAGCGGGGGAGAGAGGTGCGTGTGTGTGTGTGTGTGCGCGCGTGCGAAAAAGAGTGGTGGTGGTAGTTAAATACTGATGAGGACAGCCGAAGATTATGGAGGATATAGAGGGGCTGATCAGTGGCAAACAATTCAATCCAGATAAGTGAGAGTTGATGCACTTCAGCAGGACAAACAAGGCAAGGGAACATATAATGAACGGTAAGACCCTGGAAAGCACCAAGGATCAGACACACCTTGATGTGCACATCCATGATCTCTTAAGGTAGCAAGGCAGGTAGATAGTGTGGTTATTTGGAATACTTGCATTTATTAGCTGAGGCATTGTGGTTGCGAGGAGGGAGGTTACGCTCAAACTGTAAGAAACACTGGACAGGCCACAGTTAGAGTATTGTATACAGTTCTGGAACCCACATTATAGGGGGAATGTGATGGCTTTGGAGAGGGTGCAAAGGAGATTTACCAGTTTGTTGCCTGGGGTGGAGACTTCTAGTTATGAAGACTGATTGGATAGAAGAGGGTGGTTTTCCTTGGAGCAGAGGAAACTGAGGGGGTGCACAGAGTCACACAGCTATATGACATGGAAACAGATCCTTTAGTCCAACTTGTCCATGCTGACCAGATACCCTATATTAACCTAGTCCCATTTGCCAGCATTTGGCCCGTATCCCTCCAAAACCTTCCTATTCATGCACCCATCCAGATGCCTTTCAAGTGTTGCAATTGTACCAGCCTCCACTAATTCTTCTGGCAGCTCATTCCATACATGCACCACCCTCTGTGTGAAAAAGTTGCCCCTTAGGTCCCTTTTAAATCTTTCCCCTCTCACCTTAAACCAATGCCTTCTGGTTTTGGATTCCCCCCACTCTAGGGAAAAGACCTTGCCTATTCATCCTACCCCTGCCCCTCATGATTTTACAGACATAGATGAGGTCACCCCTCAGCCTCCAATGCTCCAGGGAAAATCCCCAGCCTATTCAGCCTCTCCCTATAGCTCAAACTCTCCAACCCTGGCAACATCCTTCTAAGTCTTTTCTGAACCCTTTCAAGTTTCACAACATCCTTCCTATAGTAGGGAGACCAGAACTGAATGCAGTATTCCAAAAGTGTCCTAACTAATGTCTCATACAGCCACAACATGACCTCCCAACTCCTACACTTAATGCACTGACCAATAAAAGGCAAGCATACAAAACACCTTCTTCACTATCCTGTCTACCTGGGACTCCACTTTCAAGGAACTATGAACTGCACTCCAAGGTCTCTTTGTTCAGCAACACTCCCCAGGACCTTACCATTAACTGTACAATTCCTGCCCTGATTTGCCTTTCCAAAATGCAGCACCTCACATTTATTTCCATTAAACTCCATCTTCCACTCCTCAGCCCATTGACCCATCTGATCAATGTCCTGTTGTACTCTGAGGTAATCTTCTTCGCTGTGCACTACACCTCCAATTTTGGTTTCATCTGCAAACTTACTAACCATAAATCCTAGCTTCACATTCAAATCATTTCTATAAATGACAAAAAGCAACGGACCCAGTACCAATCCTTGTGGGACACTGCTGGTCACAGGTGTCCAGTCTACCATCCCCTGTCTTCAAACCAGTTCTGTATCCAAATTGCTAGTTCTCCCTGTATTCCATGTGATCTAACCTTGCTAACCAGTCTACCATGAGGTAGATTGTCAAACGCCTTACTGGAGTCCATATAGATCATGTCCACTGCTCTGCCTCCATCAATCCTCTTTGTTACTTCTTCAAAAAACTCAATTAAGCTCATGAGACACGATTTCCCACGCACAAAGCCATGTTGATTATCCCTAATCATTCCTTGCCTTTCCAAACACAAGTAAACCCTGTCCCTCAGGATCCCCTCCAACAACTTGCCCACCACTGATGTCAGGCTCACTGGCCTATAGTCCCGTGACTTTTCCCTACCACCTTTCTTAAATAGCAGCACGACATTAGCCAACCTCCAGTGTTCCAGCACTTTACTTGTGGCTTTCAACGATACAAATGATTGAGGTGTGGAAAATTATGAGGGCATAGACAGGAAGGAACTTTTCCCCTTGAAGGAGGGATCAATGACCAAAGAGTATAGATTTAAAGTAAGTGACAGGAGGTTTAGAGAAGGTATCAAGATTTTACTTTTCATCCAGAGGGTGGTGAGATTCTTGAACTCACTGCAGGGGTGGTAGAAGCAGAAACCCTCATAATATTTAAGAAGTATTTAGATGTGCACTTGTGATGCTAAGGCATACAAGGCTATGGGTAAGTGCTGTAAAATGGAATTAGAACAGCTAGGTGCTTGTTTTTGACTGGCATAGACATGATGGGCCAAAGACCCTTTTTTGTGATGTAGAACTCTATGGCTGAACGCATGACATCTTCAACATGCTGCTTCTACTTTTTAGGGTGCATCTAATCAATGGGTTGCAGCTTCACAGGCTTGGCAACCCGTTTTTAACTTATACTTGGTGCTGTTCCTGGCCTGCTAGATGACAATGATAGAATGAGGGACAGATCAGATCATGAGTTAAAGACTGTGCTTGAATACAATCTTGTTGCTGATGGTCCACAGTGCATCAGAGATGCTCAGTTTGGAACTTATCCTATTTAGTACAGTGGAACAGGGTGTGCATTCAGCATGAACAGGAACAATCTCAACGAGGGTTGGGCAGTGGTTACCACTCAGCAATACTGGGAAACCGACGTAAATGAGAAAGGCAGATCAACAAGGGCGACACCAAGTAGATTTTTCTCTCCATTCCTTCATTACATGCCATGGCCACTATCTGGCTGGGTGAAATCCTCCCCACTGAGAGAGAGCAGGTCTAAGATCCCCACACAGGTGATGGGTAAATGAACTTCACTCAGGTTCTTGGTTCTAAATCCTTTAAAATTATTTAACAATTATGAACACTTTTTCCTGACTTCTCAACTACTTGAAATAGTTGCTGCTCTTCATTCTGCCCTGTTCCCTCAATTTTAAACATTATTCTGCTGTTCTATAGTCTACATTGCCTACAAAAAAATCCATCTTTTCGTGTTTTGCTTCATATTTTTATTACTTCATACAGGCCACATCTTAGTGAATCTGCATTGCAGCGATAGCCTCATGATCTTTCCTCGATGGAGCTTAATACTGGACCTAAGTCCAGGTGGACAATATCTAAATTATTGATATCCAAAGTGAACAGAAGCCGTAGAAATGAACACTGGACCATACCTTACTACCAACTACATGGAAAACTTCCAAGTCAAATTCTATATCCTCCATTTTGATTTTTAACCCAAGTTATTACCTTTCCTTCAGTTTCATTTCCATTAATGTTCTCTAATCTCTTTCGTGAATGATTTTTAGAGAAAAACCCAAGGGCACAAAGAATACAAGAAAGAAAAACATGAATAAAAATTGCCGCATCTTCAAGGAAATTAGTCAGCGGCAATAAAGATGGTTTTGCCCACATCTAGGAACCAAATAAAGAACATTTATTAGGAACTGAAAACCAAAAGCAACCACCAACCTGAAAGTAAGGGCTGTTCCTTAATAACACCATTCTTATTCCTCTCCTCCCAGTCCACAACTTCTTTATAGATCAGTTCTGAAAGAAAAGGTTAATACCTTTAAATTGCAAACATATCCTGATATTTTCAAAACAAAATCTCATCATGTTAATTGAATTATGAACAAACTAGGCAGCATATAGATAAGTTAACTGATAACAGTTTCAATAATTCAATTATGTAGGTCTCACCTACATAAAATTGGTGCTTTGCTCTGCCAAAACACATTGAATCTGGAAAGTTGGAACTAATTTAGGTATACAAATAAATGAGATAGTAAAATTAACTTAGATGCAGATTAAACCACCGAGGATGAGAAGCCACAATGGGATATTATGTACAGAAACTCAGCTATAACTAAGGACTGTGATGAGAATTAAGATTTTAACAGAGGCGTAAAGGGATGGAAGAAGCAGATGTGCTGAAGGGAACAGGGCACCAATGAATAGGTTGAAGATATGATCCAGTAATAACACTTACATTGCCACTTTGGTGTTAGTGCACAGCCAGTGGTGGAAAATATAGTTTAACAGGTAGCTTTAGTAAGCTAAGCTGTCACTACCAGCAAACCACTGAGCTCACATAACTAGGACATCAGTGCAACTGTCCCCAATAAAATCAGGCTAGGCAAGGGCATTGTAAGTCAACAGACATTCCAGAAAGAAGTGTACAAATGGGCCATGGCTATTAATTCATTGGCACAGACTGATGAAACACTGTTGAATGGGTTAAGCGGCCGAAGAAAGAGGTGGGAGACAGGTCAGAACAGGATGGCAAGGGTATTTGTGATGAGCACCAGAATCAGAGAATGCCATGGCCCACAAGATAGCAGTGGATCTATCCAAAGATAATTAAAGTCTTGCGCAAAGAGTGGGAAGGCAGAAAAATGGTGATGCATTGGAGGTAGGAGGGAAGGAATTAACAGAATTGGGGTGAGGGAAGGAGAAAAAGAATGACATGCCAAGTTAAGAAAGGTAAGGGCTCGAATGTGGCTAAGAGGGAGGGATTTAAGTGGAAGTAAGGACTCTAAGTGGGCACTAAGTCATAAATGTGGGCGCTGAACAACGTAGAAAAATGAAAATAAAAATGAAGCTGCAGTGAAACAGAGAAGACATTGTAAATTAACATTATTACAAAGGACATGAAGGTGACAATGAAATAAACTACACTCGATGTTTAAAGTTCAGTAGTAGGTGGAAGTTATATAAACAAGGTGGAGTCAATTTAAGAGCATTAATATTACCCTGTTTAAACAGTTGTACAGAGAAGGAATGGTTCTGGCATCAGAGTATTAGTGCATATGTTCCTCAAGGCTGTTCAAGCAAAACACAGTAAGAGGAGTGGACAGTCAAACAAGAGCCAGAGGAGTTTGGTCCATCAGAGGCTTGATGTTAGTAGTGCGCATAGAGAGTTAAAGCATTCCAGCACGAGTGCCAAGAGTCAGAGAACTTAAAATATCAATCTACAGGATTCAGTACAAACAAGGAAGCTAACCTGAGCACAGCTTTAGCGATGAAAGGAATACACAAGATCAAGAGTAGTAGGAACTTCAGGAGCCATTCAACATAATTATGAAGGATCATGGAGTCCAGAAAATTGACTGAAGTCAGCAGTCACAGGAAGAAAACAGGAGGAAACTGAGATCACTCAGCAGAAAAAGGTGCAGAATGCAGAGCAGGATCAAATTAACAGGAACAGATTAAAGCTAGTTAAGCATGAAATGAAAATGAAAAATGAAATTTTAAAACTGCAGTCATAGAACCAGATGCCATACCAGAACACAGACAGTCAACAGAGGAATGAGGTGTGAGCATCAATATTAAATCCCATAAGCAGTGGACAATTAAGTCAGTACAGGAAAATGAGGATCTCTGAGTGGGACTCAACTCGGTGTCAGGGAAAGTCAATAATTCTCTGGGCCTACAATTCTAGAATTATTGAAACAATGGAGTGATAGAGCAGAGTCATGGCATGAAATGTATTCAAGCACTGTACTATTGTGTATATAGTAGGAGGCTAAATGTCCAAGGAATTTATTATGAGCAAGACACACTACTTGGGCAGGTTACCTAAAGGACTAGAAAAGTCTTGTTTGTGAGTGAGAGACAGACAGACACACAGGAGGGGAAGACAAAAACACAGGACGGCAATGGATGACCATGAAACAAAATTATAAGAGATGGCAGAGATAGTAGGAATCGCAGATGCTGAAGAATCCGAGGTAACAATGTGTAGAGCTGGATGAACACAGCAGGCCAAGCAGCATCAGAGGAGCAGGAAGGCGGACATGAGCAGGAAGGCGGACATTTTGGGCCTAGACCCTTGGCCTGCTGTGTTCATCCAGCTCTACACCTTGTTATCTCAGATTCTCCAGCATCTGCAGTTCCTACTATCTCTGAAACAATTTTAACCCCACTGCGAAGCCAA